GCTGCGGGCAGCTCCGGCCGCGGGCCGCCTTTATAAACCGGCGGGGGAGGTGGCCCGGGCCGCGTCGCGCTCCCGCCACCCCGCGCCCACTCCCCGCTCCCCGAGCGCACGCCCCTGGTGCCAGGACAGACCCTCGCCCACGAGTTCCGCGCAGGTAAGAACGGTCGCTGTCCCCTGGCTCCCCGGGACCCCAGCGTAGGGAGTCGATCCCTGCGTCCTCCTCTGTCCCCGGGGTGGCGGCGACATTGAAGACAAACGACAGAACAAGGGCTCCCGCGCCCCCACACAGCCCCCAGCCACTTGTCCCGCTCCGATCTGAACTTGGAGCCCGCGAAGCCGGCAGCTAACGGGACCGCGCTCGGGACCGCGTGGCGGTCCTGGGGTCTCCTTCCCTCGGGGTGGGCACCTGTGCCCGGTGCCCCTCGATCCCCAGCCTGGAACTGGCGCCCTCCCACAGCCCCCACCCGACAACCTCCAGGTCTGCTCTGGCTAAAGTAATTGGGGCCGGAGCCTGGAGCGAGGCGCTCGGATCCACGCGTCAGAGGAGGCAAAGGAGGCGGATCTGAGTGCAGGTGTCTGTCTGGGAGAGGGGGTGCACGGCAGCCCAGGGCGAAGCTCTGGAGCCCGCGAAGCCGTGGAGACTGCGACCCCTCTGGGCTTTGCACCTGGGTGGTGGGCAGTCCCTGCTGATGCCCGGCCCCGTCCAGATAAGAAAGGATTAAGGCGTGGTCACAGAGGAAGGGCGGGAGACTCGGGGAAGCCTCAATCCCGGACCCACACGGTTCCTTAGGACCCTTTACCACCACCTAATAGGGAGGGGGAGGGGCCTTTACAAATGACTCTGTGTATGTGTGGGAACACGGAGATTGAAAGGGGAGGAACCTGGAGATCAAAGGAGAAGCCTGGGGCTGTGGAAAAAACCCTGAGACCCCTCATACAGGACCATCCTGAGGGGAAGACGGGTTGGCTCTCCACATCAGTGAGGATGACAGCACCTGTTTATTAACTCCCTACTGCGTGCCAGGGCCTGCGCCAACATCTGGCCGTATCACCTTATTTTACAAATGGGGAAACTGAGGCTTATATGCCGCGAGATCAGGATCTGAACTGGACTCTGAACCCCACTAGCCTCCTATTCCCCTCTACCCAGTAGATCAGGGCCGAGCCAGGGATTCTCTTTCAGGCCTTTGCTCCCTCTGCCCCCAGACCCCCTCCCCAAAGCTTTAGTCTTCTCCCCACTCCCTGCCCCTCTGTCTGTTTTTTCTTTGCTGAACTGGTCTCTGAATTCCCTGAGTAGAAGAAGCCTCTGTCCCAGCTGATGGGGTGAGACAGGGCTGGTCCCTCTGTCCAGCGTCCCAGCTGTAGCAGTAAAACTGAGCTGAAGAGCGGGGAAAGAAGCTACCACCAAACCACACGTATCTATTAGGCATCAGGGTTTTTTTTATTCTAGGACTTGAACCCAGTGCTTAATGCTGTTAGGCAACTACTTTACCCATTTTTATTTATGTATTTATTTATTATAGGGGATTGAACCTAGGAAGCACTAAGTGATAGCCCTGACTTTTTCTTTTTCTTCCCGCCTCCTCCACTGGAGATCGAACCCAGGGCCTTTGCACTGAGCTACACCCCCAGCCCATTTCTTCTATTTTATTTTGACACAGGCTCTTGCTGAGTTGCTCAGGCTGGGATTGAACTTTTGATCCTCCTGACTAAAACACACCCCCCCAACACACACACACACACACACACACACCTCACTCAGTAGCTAGGCCTCAGCTTTGTGCTCTTTCCTGGGCACTGGAAGCATTGCAGCAAGGTAAACACAAAAGCCTCTTTGGAGGGGCAGACACAGGTATAGCAAACTTTTTCAGGCTTTCAAAGTTGGGTGTCAAAACGGACACAAAACTGAAATGAAGCAATTCACCAGGGAAGAAAGGAAGACGCAACACACATGCAAGACTGGTTTGTCAATATTTGGCTTTCTCTAAGAGGCATCCTAGCTGTATAGCCTGGGACAGGTCCTGTTCCTGCTCTGCCTCAATCTCCTCCTTGAAGCTGGTGAAGTCTCACCATGAGTAATGCCTACAAAGACGCTTAGAATCTTGGTGTGCAAAGTGTTTAACTGGTGTCCGTGCGTAAGCAAATGCTGTCTGTCAACAGCTCCACTCAGCAGAAAATGCAGCCCTGAGACTGTGTGCAGGGTTATGTCACTGCTCTGCGCTCTGTGACCTTGGTCACCTACCTTTGCCCAGGCCTGCCCACTTCCTGAGGGGCTGTGTGGTGGAGTGGCATGCAGCTGTCCTGCTCACACTCAGATGCCGCCTCTTACCACCCTAGATGCAGCCTGGGCCGGGAGCCCAGAGGCCCAGCTGGGAGCAGCCCTGGAGCTGTGATGTCTGCGAGTCTTCTAGCGCCTCACTGTGTCCCGGCTCAGGACTAAACTCCATCCTGTTCTACCCTTTAACTTCTATACCCAACATTCTCTACAGGAGATATGTGACCCTCAGGTTGCCTGGAGAGGGGAAGGGACTTGTCCAAGGAAACAGGTGCTACCTGAGAGCTGGGGCTGGGGCCCAAGGATCTCGAATTCCAAGTCTAGTGATTTCCACATTGCACCCATCTGTGGGCCTGAGGCCTTTTAATCCAGGGGGCAGGATCCAGCAGCAGAGCCTGGTGCTCTTACCCCGAAATTGGTCTGGCTGGGGTTGTTAATACAAAACCTAGAGCTCCAAGGGGAGCTTTGCAAGGAGCACCAGTGAGCCGGGCTGAGAACCAGCACTCAGAGATCTCTGAGTGGCCACAGGAATGCTAACTCAGCTTCCCACCATGACGTGGTCACCGTCACTGGCAGGCTAGGGCTGGGCCGTGTGGTATGTTTGTTGTTTTTTGGTGTGGTTTTCCCCCCCCACCCTCTTTGTGGAGATGTCCTAACTTTTAGAATACAGTTGGGAGCAGTAGATTGGAACTTTACTCCCAACTCTGCTGTGTGACCCTGAGCAAATCACTTTGCTCTCTGATCCTCAGTTTCCTCATCTGTAATATGGGTTACTGATACATTGCAGGGTTGCCTGAAGGGCCAACAAAATCATAAGTGGTCTCCCAACTTCAGGGTTCATCTGCATTGATTGTTCTTGAAAATTAAACGTTCCTGGTGCGGAGTTTGCACAGGGCACAGAGGGCCAGAGTAAAGACCTTGTTTGGGGTGCAAAGGCCTAGACAGCAGGGGAAACACTGGAGTAAGAGTCCAAATCCTCTGCTGTGTGACCCGAGGCCAGTCACTCTGCCTCTCTGAGGGCCCTCAGCATCCTTCTACAGTGCTCACTGTGCATTGAATACTCCATATTTTTCTGCCCCCACCACCACTCCCCAGCGTTTCATAATCTCTCCCAGAAAAGCTCCATGCTTCAGGCTTTCCATGCCGAAACTCTCAGCCTCACTGTGGCATGAAACCAATTGTTTGCATTTAATTGGACTTCTCAAATGAAGGGGTAAAATCTGAGATGAGGATGGGGAAGGGGGAGGAGAGGAGGATGAAGTTAAACCAGATGTGTTTTGTTTAACTATAGGACGGTGGTTAAACTGCCCCGAATATCACCACCGTTCTTTCTGAATTCCAGTAACCAGGAGTCAGGTTTCATGAAAAATTGTAGTGTTCTTTCCTGGCTGGTGTGGAGTTGCCCTCCCGTCATTATTATTATTACTATTTTACATTCATCCGAGGCCACAGAGTACTGGCTTGAGGAAAGACCTCATAGATGCTTAGAATTTCCAAGCTGGCAGGGAAGCCTTTGCTAGCCAGCGCTGCCAGCTGGCATCTTTGCAGACTGGGGAGACTGAGGCCTGGAGGTGGGAGAAGGGGCTTTGCCCAGGGGCACCCAGTTTAGGGCAGGAAATACATCTCCTGCCTCTGAGCTCCACGACCTTTCCAAAGGTAGCCACCCCTGAGTTTTGCGTGTATCACTTGCTCAGTGCATCCTTGGTTTATCTCATTTTTGCAAAGAAATAAATGTTCAAGGGAGGAGGTAGATGCCGTGGGTTGGCTTAAATCCTTGAGCTGTTGATATACTACCTGTGTCACTTCCTCTCTCTGGGCCTCAGTTTCCTCATCTGTAAGCCCAGATAGCTAAAGAGCAGAAGAAACCTGGGCATGGCAGCGCACACCTGTAATCCCAGTACTCTGCGAGGCTGAGGCAGGAGGATTGGAAGTTTGAGCCCAGACTGGGCAATTTAGTGATTTAGTGAGATCCTGTCTCAAAGTAAAAATAAAGAGCAGGATAGAGCTCAGTGCAAAGGACTGAGAAAAAAAAAAATTCAAGAGAGATGGGATTTCCCTAAGACTTGGAATGAATCTAATTGAGTTCACTGGGCCCCAAACATGTACGGCTTTTGTGTGCTGAGGTATGGCAGGTTGGTTACACACTGCCCTCCCAGAGCTACATGGATGGGGTAGGGATCGTTGGCTGCTTTTATGATATCAAAACTTCAATTTAGTGGCTGGTGTTGTGAAGCTAGGTGGTTTTATTTTACATAAAACCATGGGTTTCTGGCTTCTGTAGAAAGATCAGGAAATGTGGCAATATTGGGCCCGGTCCTTGGCTGGCCACAATGCCAGGGCTGAGTGGCAGCTGCTCTGTCCACTTTACCACAGTCCCTACCACGCCCCACTGGCATCGCCTGCCTGCTGGGTTTGCAGTTTCTGGCTTGAAAGCGTCCTCAAGTTTTACGTGAATGAGTGTAGGAGGCTGGAGTGGGAAGGTAGGCACGAGGATGCCAGCCTGAGGGCTTGAGACTTTGAAGATGACAGGCATCAGCCTGTGACACTGAGCAAAAACCTGCGCTTTGGAAGAAGGTGCCCGAGCTGCGGAGTTTGGAAATGTGTACCGAGTGGGGCTGCTGTCCTGCCGGCAATACTAGGTCCTGACCCTGATGCACCACCACCCTCTGCCGCTTTGTGATGGAGGAAACCAAGGCTGAGAGGGCGGCGGGTGCCCTGGGTTCAAATCGTTCTCTGTGACCCTGCCCAGGGCCTTGGAGGGAGGGGAGGGAGGCTGGAAGGTTATTTCTGGAGAATAAGATGCCAGGGACCCTGCAGTGTGACCCTGAGCCCCCTAAGCCTGTGCCCCCTTCTCCACCCTGGCCTGTTTCTGAGACACT